GGGCGACCCCCCACTAGATGGAGTGACGACCTGGTAAGATATGCAGGAAGTCGATGGATGCAGGTGGCTCAGGACCGTGCTTTGTGGCATTCCTTAGGGGAGGCCTATGTTCAGCAGTGGACTTGTGAAGGGCTGTAATGATGATGGTGAATGATGAAAGACAGGAGGAGGTTCTCAATTTGACTGTATGACATCAAAACTTTTTTATAGGTGAACCGATTTTGACGCTTCTTTTCTGCCGACTTCCAAAAAGGAGACGGTACTCTATTCGACTGTATGTTTTTTTTATATGCGTTACCTCATAACTTTTTACTGGGTGAACCGATTTGCTTCACCCAGCTGGTACTTCTCGTGTGGTCCCATATGAATTTAATCCAGGTCAGACCAATAGTTTTTGAGTTATTCTTAATAACTTATATTGAAGTCGGCTGTACAAAATTTTTTATTTTAAATTATTATTTAAAAGCTGGTGCTTCTCATGTGGTCCCATATAAATTTGATCAAGATCTGACCAGTAGTTTTCGAGTTATCCTTAATAACGCGTATTTAATTGACTTCGACTAACTACATTGATGTTCTCATTTTATTTTATGGAAGTTGGTTTTATAATTTTTTTAATTATACCACTTGTTGGTATTGTCCTATAGGTAGAATTATTTTTGTGTGATTTAACACAGTGATAATTACTTTTAAAGTGGCATAAACTTCCATTAAATATGAGAAAACTATTTAACAGTGGATGGACCGGCTCGAACCGGGGTGATACCACGACCTCACAGAATACCAGCGTGAAGTTGAGGTTTACCTCTGCGTTGCGCTAAAAAAGACCACCCCATGAGGATATCAGCACCCCTGGAGAATTCCTCGCTGAGTATCCACGACCAAACTACACCACTCTTGAGCGTGGGTGCTCAGGCAGCCCCGCGTATTCAGGGGGGGAGGGGGGCAAAATTCTCCTCGCAACTAAAACTGCTCGGGGCAAGCGGAGCAATAAGACCAAGGCGACCCCTGTCACGCTATCCGTGAATTTTCGCAACATCAGGGGACTTCATTCCAACCTTAACGCGGTCCATTATCATCTTTTGACGGCGAAACCGGCCTTGCTCTTTTTAACCGAGACTCAGGTGTCCTCTCCGGCTGATACCTATATCTCTCCTACCCGGGGTACAAATTAGAACACTCCTTTGTGCCTTGGGCTGGGGTTTGCGTATACGTCAGAGAGGACATCTGTTTTCGACGCCTCGGCAGTCTTGAAGGAACGGACCTGTCCATCCTTTGGCTGCGCGTAGACAGCGACGACCATCCCCGCATCTATGGGTGCCTCTATAGGTTCCATAGCGGTAATGCCGACACAGACCGACTCATCGACCACGTCCAAATGGCTTCAGACTCCGTGCTACAACAGAATCCGCAGAAATCGTGATATTCGGTGATTTTAACGCCCACCACGCTGAATGGCTTGGTTCCCGTTTAACCGATCATGCGCGTAGATCTGTCTATGATTTTGCCCTGGCATATGGTCTAACACAACTGGTTACTTCGCCTACGCGGATCCCAGATGTGGAGGATCATGTACCTTCCCTGTTGGACCTTCTGCTGACCTCTCATCCGGACGGATATCAGGTCTCCGTCGATGCCCAATCGTCCATACCACCTGGATGATTGGCGCAGGCCTCCCCTCATTTCTGAGAGGGTTTTAGAGCAAGGAAATGTCCGCCGCGCTGCCCCAATGCGTGTTTGCGGACTTCACTAGTCCTTGAAATAATTTTTTTCTTATTTCCCAGACATGCACAGGTTTCCTCACGATGTTTTCATTCACCACCGATCACGTGGTACATCAGTACTTAAATTGCAATTAAAAATTATACGAATTACTAGCTGACCCGGCAAACGTTGTTTTGCCGGGTCAGCTAGTATCAGCTAGTATCAGCTAGTATCAGCTAGTCATTATTTCTAAGCATAATAATAAAATAAAAATATTTTTTTTGTCCAAAAAAATTATAGGTGGGTCACCCTTATCATTTAAGGGTTTGCCATGGCAACTAGGCCTTGGACCTACATTTTGCAAAATCGTATTATTGATATTAATTTAGCTTAAAATCTAATCAATATAGATTTCTTGGCCACGTGTTGTGTAGCAGCTTAGCGGCGCTGAGGCCGCGGATTCAAACACTGGACGGAACAAGTATTTGTATAGCCTGCAAATAATTGTTATTACTGGATATTTGAACTAGTGAAATTTATGCATGTTGTATTTAAACTGCCTCCACGATACTGGCTAACGTTTTTTTTTTTTAAATAACACAAGCAAAGAAGAAGATGTTGCGGAAAGGCTTCCCCGTCCCGCATCGTGATGGGCACGGTAATGTTGGTTTGCACACTTCATTTTTATTTTAGTTATTTATTGTGGTTACTTCTGTGCGGTTCATTAATATTTACAACAAAGACGGTTACCAAGAAACTATGTACTATGTAAATAGTTTTGAGAGTATTTTATAACAGGGTATTTAATGAAAACCCTGACTTTTCTTTGTTGGGCTAGAAAATCATGTTGTGGAATCGAACCAAACAACAACTAAGCAATACGTATCATTAATTATCCCACACTTGAACGAAATGAAATAGACAAAAATAACATTACAAAATGTAAAATTCTAAATCCCCCGCTGCAATATTGGATTAACAAGGATATAATAACTAGCATTAATAAACGTAATGAATTATGGTATATACACAAAAACGATCCTACAAACACGCAACTGGAAATGAAATTTAAAGCTGAAAGAGTAAAGGTCGATAGAATGATAACAGAAGAGAAAGGAAAATACTACGGCAGTGTCTTTGAAACATGCAAAAGAAAAAACAAAAAAAAATGTGGACTACAATAAATAGTATGACTACAAATAAAATATTAAAGAGTTGCGCTCTCCCTATTTTATTAACGACTCTAAACCTATAACTAACGGATTCGAGGTTTGTAGCGCATTTAATGATTTCTTTTCATCCATAGGTTTTTCTCTAGCAGATAAAATAATGCAAAAACAAAACACAATAAGTGATATTTTTCAAGGTAATACAAATTTACTTAATAGCTTTACCATAGCTTGACCATGTACACACCACGAAATTACAAAAATTATTGATAATTTAGATAGCAATACTAGCTCGGGAATAGATACCATTTCAATAAAAACAATAAAATGTATTAAAAACTTAATAAATGGCAACCTAAAATCTTGCATTAACAAGTGTCTGGAAAATGGCCACTTTCCAGAAAGCCTATAGATAGCAAAGGTAATACCAATTTATAAAAATGATGATAAGAATGATCCTAACAATTACCGAACAATATCGGTCCTACCTGTAGTCTCTAAATTGTTCGAAAAATTATTTACTCCAAGCTATATGAATATTTAATAAAACAAATTTTCTTATAGACCAACAGTACTGTTTTCGACCTAAGTCTAACACATTGACTGCTACCATTGATTTAGTAACTAAAATTACCAAAAAACAAATAGCTTTAGGCATATTTATCGACCTTAAAAAAGCCTTTGATACGCTAAGCCACAAATTGCTACTTAACAAACTTAAAAATACAGGGATCGATAGAAAAACACTCAAAATCTCGAATCATATTTGCATGATAGGTATCAAGTTGTTAAAATTGGAGAATTCGAAAGTCAACCTAAAAAAAATGGCTGTGGTGTGCCGCAGGGGTCTATATTAGGACCATTGTTGTTCCTTATATATGTGAATAACATTAGTACAATAGGTCTGACAGGACATTACACTCTATGCGGATGATACCAGTCTTTTTTATTTTGGTAACACAACAGCGTCTGTCATTAATGAAGCCCAACATGATCTTAATAAAATTAATTTGTGGCTGCTCAATAACTTGCTAACACTTAACACTTCAAAAACATCTTACATGATTTTTTCTGCTAAAACAAGAAACTCACCGATCATCCACCTCTAATTATAGCTAATAAACCCATACACAAGTCTAAAGAAGAAAAATACTTAGGCCTAATCCTAGACAATAAAATAACTTGGAAACCTCATATAGATAATATCCGGTCGAAATTAACATCCTTAATAGGAATTTTAAGAAAAATAGCAAAATGATTCCCACAATCAATTAAAAAACTAATATAAAAAAACTCTTGTAAAGCCGCATTTAGAATATCTAATACAAGTATGGGGAAGTGCCGCAAAAACCAACCTAGATGTACTACAGCGAAGTCAATATAAGGCTATTAAAGTACTATTTAACTACCATTATTTAACACCAACGGATAAAATCTATAAAAATAATAAACTACTTAATATAAATAAACTTTATATATACAGTACATGCGTACTAGTTAAAAAACTACTATTATAATCAACCCATTCCCTAACTACTTTCTAAAAGATCACACCGTTATTATACTCGAAATTAGACACAAGCTAGCGCTGCCTATCTATAGAACTGACATAGGAAGGAAAAGCATTAAGTTTGAGAGAGTGCAACTTTACAACAAGCTGCCTAATTATGTGAATAAATGTAGCACTATTGCATTATTCAAAAGACGCCTGTTCAATTACTTATCCTAATTTATACTTGTTTTGGACCGCATTCTTTTTTTAAATTTTAATTGTTATGTTATGTATTTACTATTTATCACTGTTAAGCGAACTGTATATTGTTCTTGTGTGATAAATAAATATCTTTAACCTGAATTAAATAATTATCTATGGTACGTTCGTTGCTTTATATACTTCTGTATATCAATATTTATTAGAAGATTCGAAGAATAATACAATTGTCAACGTCACATTAGTCACACTGTCACATAAAATGTAACAATCCAGATTTTAATAAAATTTTGCCCATAAAAATCCAAGATGCATTGGCGTCTCTTTCCCGTAAATCTGCCGTCTGACTTTATGATCGCTTCAGAAAAAAACTGTGATCGGGAATGCCTGCTCTTTAACTTTGTAGTAAACTTATCATGACCGAACTGAAATCCACTATATCCGAAGAAAATACGTTGGCTTCTAAGGGATATAAACTAATAAAATTTTTAGGAGAGGGTGCTTATGCTAAGGTAATAAAAATACAATTAAAAAAATATGATACGTTAAAAAAACGAAAACTAAATATTGGAATGATTAAAATTATAATTAGTTTGTTACTTTTGCTATTAACAGGTTTATTTAACTGAATACTCAAGGGATGAAAATAAAAAATCAACACTTGCTTGTAAAGTGATTGAAACTGCTAAAGCTCCAAAAGATTTTGTCGTCAAGTTTTTGCCGCGAGAAATAGATGTCCTCATAAGACTGAATCACCCTCATCTAATTCACGTACACAGCATTTTTCAAAGGAAAACAAAATATTACATTTTCATGAGATATACAGAAAATGGAGATCTTTTGGGATACGTTTTAAAAAACGGATGCGTTTCAGAGAACCAGTCACGAGTCTGGTTGCGTCAGTTAGCTTTAGGTTTACAATACCTACACGAATTGGAAATTACCCACAGAGACATTAAATCCGAGAATGTACTTTTAACAGCTAATTTTAACGTTAAGCTTTCGGATTTCGGATTTTCGAGGTTTTGTATTGACGACGACGATCAACCCATTTTAAGCGAAACCTATTGTGGATCCATGTCATATGCAGCGCCGGAGATATTACGGGGCAAACCATATTTACCGAAGCCAACGGATTTGTGGTCATTGGGAGTTGTTCTGTTTGTTATGTTGAATAAGTCAATGCCATTTGATGATACTCGCATGAAAAAGTTATATGAGCAGCAGATGGGCAAAAAGTATAGGTTTAGATCGCGTGTGGCGAGCGTTCTATCTTTGGAGTGTAAATCAGTTGTTAAACATCTTCTAGAACCTGATCCTGGACTCCGCTACACTTCGAATCAAGTAATTAAGTCCGAATGGATTGCTATGGACAGTAGGCTTACTAGTAAGTCTTAAATTTAATTTGTAAGTTCGAGATTATTCAAGATGTTGATAGCAATAATGAAAACTAACGAGTACTGACAAATAACATTATCAAAATACTTACAGCGTTAAATGCTATCGAAGAAGCTGCTTTAAACCGAGCTAAAGAAGAACGTAGAAGATTGACAGAGTCACATAAAAATCTAGCGAAACGACAGGGTGATATTTGGGAGAGAACTCATAGAGATTCTTCGTATAGAGTAAAAAGCTTCTATTATTTTAACGATTACTCGCTTATTTCTTACTTATGTTACTATATTTACTTATATTTTTTCCAGGCTAGTGAAATGATAAAATCCTTAGCCAGTATCACAGCAAAGCAAATAAGAGAATAAATGGAGGATAAATCCAAGGTAAAAAATATATTTCGCCATTGAATAAAGAATTATTAATTATTTTTCATTTCACACGTTTTATTTTGCAACCACCAGATCTTGGAAAATGACTTAAAACTCACTGGCTCTGAACAGTTGACATTGGCAATTCGTGGTTATAAAATTATAAAGAAAATTAATGAAGGATCCTATGCAAAGGTATAAATTAATTTATAGACACACTAATTAAAAAGTATTTTTTTTTTAGATATTTAACATTTGTCTATTTTAGGTTTACCTCTCGGAGTACAGAAATCCAAAGAAAAACGATAGACTCGTAATTTTAGCCTGCAAAGTAATTGATACAAATACCGCCCCAAAAGATTTTGTCAAGAAGTTTCTACCAAGAGAAATTGATATGTTGATAAAACTAAACCATCCGCATTTAGTGCACACACATAGTATATTTCAGAGAAGATACAAATATTTCATTTTTTTGAGATATATGGAAAACGGAGACTTGTTAGAGTATATACTGCAAAATGGCGCAGTACAAGAGGACCAAGCTAGGATTTGGACTAGACAATTATCGCTTGCGATCCAGTACATGCACGAGTTAGAAATAGCGCATAGAGATATCAAGTGTGAAAACGTTTTGTTGACTGCGAATAAGAACGCAAAACTATCAGACTTCGGTTTCGCCCGCATGTGTGTCGATAAAAAAATGAAGGACGTACATAGTGAAACGTTCTGTGGTTCTCTGTCTTATACTGCACCAGAAATCTTACATGGCTTCCCTTATTACCCAAAGCCGACAGATATATGGTCCTTGGGTATTGTGGTATACGTGATGCTTAATAGAGCAATGCCCTTCGAAGACAAGCACATTAAGCAATTGTATCAAGCACAAATAAGTAGCAATTGGAGATTTAGATCGCGCTATACCGATATCCTTTCCGATAACTGCAAACGTTTGATCTCTTTAATGTTAGAGCCAAAATACCAAAACAGAATAAAAATCGAACAGATTATAAGTAGTGAATGGATTGCTATGGATTCGAGATTATTAGGTTAGTTTCTATGTCCTAATTAATAAACATAAAAGTAAAGTTTTAGCCTATATACGTCCAACGGCTGGGCACAGGCCTCCTCTCATTTCTGAGAGGGTTTCCGCGATGCTCCAATGCGTGTTGGCGGACTTTCACATGTCTCTTCGCTTTCTTTTACTTCTTAGAGGTTGAGATTACTTACGATGTTTTCCTTCACCTCCGAGAACGTAGTAAATCGGCTTTGTGAAATTTTTAGCGAGCGCGAAGCCTCTGCTACCACAGCTCTATTTATTTATTCACATACTTATGTACATTCGTATTTATAAAAATAATGCAACATATACATTTTCGTTTAGAATGGACACCACAAGAAACACTAGCTTACAAAAAGGCTAAAGAAGAGAGAAGTCATCTTCAAAAGAAATTTGAATCAATAGAGTTATTAAAACTAGAGAAGGAAACTTTCTTACCTGAAAAATCTCTAGTAAACAATACGCTTGACGCTACAGGATCTACATCTTCATGGTATTAGCAGTATTAAATCATTTTAATACTTTTTTATGGTTTATAAACTTCACAATCAACGATAGTTGCTAATTATGTCATCTTATTACAGCTCATTACATATACCTATAGACACATTATTTATTTTATCCTCGATTACAAAACAAAATGAGTGGATCACCCTGGGCAGTAAGATGGAATGCCTCAAGCAGAGATACATAATATGGTGCTATTTTATGATAATCTGTGAGAGCGTGGTCCTTATGCTCTTGAGCCAAACTGTGTGCTGCAGCCATAAAATGGCTGAAAAATGACTCTACAACAAACACAGCTGTCCAGTATAAATAGCCGCAGAATTGAATCTTCAGCTACCTGTATCAACACGTATATAACTGTCACTGTATCAACTACGTATATACCTACGTGGTAGAGTCACGCTATAGCCATATTATGGTTGTGGCACGAATAGCTTGTCTCGACCGGAGAAGAACCACACTCACCCCGAATACCAGCCTAAAATATCGGCTTAATTCTGCTGTGTTTCGTATGGTGAGTGTAGAGATCCAGAGATCCTTTTCACTGGAAACGAGGCATTTCATCTTAGTCCTTAAGGGCCGACAACGCATCTGTATTTTGATTCTTAATCGAGGATAGACGTAAATGTCTATGGGCCTCAGCAACCGGGGGATGGGCGCATGAACCACACATATATTTTTATCACGAAATATAAATAATATATAAAGAAAAACAAAAAGATATATCATTTTAATTATTTAAATTTAATTTGTTACTGATAGCTGGCACAACAACTTTAGATATACGGAAATCGTATCTTTCCCATATTAATTATAACATTAATTAATGCAGCTTAAATTTCACAACTCCATTTTATTCTTAAGTCTTGTTATCATAAGTATTAATGACATCCCTTTGTTATTTTCAGACTCATACGCATTTAAAAAACATCAAGAACGTTATATTTCTATAGGATATGCAAAATAAAGATTAAAAACATAGAACCCTAAAAATTAATAAATAATGTAAAACGTACATGCTTTAATTCCTCCATTTCCTTTCCACCATCGGACAACCAGGTGTTCGGCGTGTCTTCACCACTTTATTGTTTACATTATTTTTAACCACACATTAGAACCAAACGGTTTGCTTCGTCTTTTGTAATGCGTACAGCAATGGAGTGAATAATTTAGCGTCTATCTTTCCATCCGAATATAATTTGGATGTCTTCAAGGCAAGAGTGGATAGGCTTTTGTTATGCTAAGACAGTGCGATTTACCATCTAGGGCTACATCACCACTTACCACCAGGTGGGATTGAGATCAAGCACTGGCTTATAATAAATTTAAAAAAAAACCTAACTGTTGTTTAGTTGAACATGTTATATCATATAGATACATTTTCATATCTTACGTTTGTTATCTTGTTGATATTAATATAATATTAGTAATAGGTAGAGCTGTCTTTAGCTGGCACCTGTAAGCGCGATCAAACGAGCCATCGACTCGTGTAAGATGACTTCATAACCATCGTAACCCTGTACATCCAAACTTTATCATTCATAAGTTTTGCGAACAGATTTCTTCAGACTGATCATTTGCTTAGCTGTGTTGATACTTATGATTGTGCTCTGCGAAATGACGTATTCTGATCAAGAGTATATCTGGGAAAAATTGAACTGACGAACACGCAACAAACTGATTCAACTGGGTTCACCACAAACTTCTATAGATATTGTTACTTGACGGCTGTCCGCCCGCATTATTTCCATGTAAACCTACATGGAAATAATGCGTTTGCATTGCATTCAAGTTTACTTTATATTATGCGGAGTATTGCACGATGCACGTCTCATAACGCAAGGTATTATTAGGTAGTGCTTTAGGTACTCTCGACATTTCAAGCAATTTTGCCTCTATCTTAACCATATTGCACTTATACGATAATATGAGTAGCAGTATATCAAGAAAACACGAATTAATCCGTTTTATATTTTCTAAAAAATCATTTTATATTGCTGTTTTATATTGTTGATTTTGTATGTATGTAGTCACGATAACTCCCGAAAAAATTGACGTATTGAGACGGGGTTTATTTATTTATTTATATTTATATTAGCTTCAAAATAATATCAACTGATTCCCTATTTCATCTCAGTAGCATATTATGTGTAACTTGTTACTAAAATGATTTTAAATTTTTATAAGTTTTATTGCTATTAAAAATTTAAAGGCACTTTCATATATCTTTTTTAGCCCTTGATAGAGAAAGGACAAATGTACCATGTATGGTACATTGACAGATATAGATTTCGAATGTTTTACAATAACTTCATCCAAACGATACCTATATGTCTGTTTTGTATTTATATTTACATCTTTTAAAAATTTAAAATAACTTCCGACATTTGACAGTTGAACAAAATTTTTAATTTTTAACATTGAGTTATATGTACTACGTACTAGAGAAGCCATTCCGAACATTGACTATGTTCAACTGAACTGTAGTGCAATCCATACAAACTAAATATTGCGTAAATTGAAAATTATTATTACATTTTATTTAGAAATATGTTTGTTTAGATTAAGATATTTTATATTAAATTCTTATATTTATTTTATATTAATATCTTATTTTATATTAAATTAAAGTCTTCGCGCATGCGCGACTACTACTCCCGCGCATGCGCGAAGACATAGAGTAGAATACAATTTTAGTTTGGAATGGCTTCTCTAGTACGTAGTGCATATAACTCAATGATTTTTAATTATTGTTGAAAACAACTTCGCCATAATGTTCGCTATACTTATATCGAAATTATAATATAAAACGTAATTTTCGCACATTAGACTTTGTGGAATATGAAAATTTGTGTTTATTACATGATTTATTGTGTTGATACACACTTTATATTTAATTTTCAGTTAATTCTGGCTATTAAATATAGTGATACGGAAACGACACAGTATTTGAAATGGAAATTTTATAAAGTGTTTAGTAGTTTTTATAAATTGTTACGAAGCAAAATACAAGGAATTAACTTTTAGTAACAGTGTAATTACTTACCTTTTATATAAAAACTAACAAAAAACTTTCTATTGTACCCACTTAATTTTTTTTTTAAATTTGTAATTGCCTCGTACACTCCCGCGGCGAAGGAAATAAGACTAAAGTATGTGACGTAAGCGCGACGCGTAGGTAAAGGCGGAAACTCGTCATTTGAAGTAAATTCTGCTAATTTAGAGAAGCGTAATTTAGTTACGAAACTAATTCTAATAAAATTTTAGTTTAACATTTAAAAAATAATTGTTCTGAGCATAACTATGGTTCTGACTAAACGTAGTGATCATGTACTCTTTGGTTCTGAGGGGTCCTTTCTAAATATTACCATACTCTTTGAAGCGTTCTACAAAGGTGACATTGGATAGCCCCATGTGTACTTCAAAGAATTGACAGATTAAACTGCTCAAGCTCTCTTTTGCTACTTCTAATTTTTTTAAGGTGTAAGGTTATCTGGTTGAACTTCTGGCAGCCATTTGTTCCATCTCTGTACAGGGGAAACGACTCACTGGCCCATACCGCAAAGGATCTTTCATGCAAAGCACTTTTCCCCCTGGACGTCAACAAGTCGAGTGGGCCTGATGGAGTCACTCCTATTCTCCTGAAGACAGGTGCTCTGGAGTTTGGCGGGCCTAAGACTATAAATTATTGACGGAGCAAGGATGGGGCGCGGTATGAAGGAGAGTGGAGTCCCCCTCGCGACGTCTGCGGTAGTACTGGTCAGCTTCGCTTAGGTACCGGAACGCCCGTTTAGGAGTGTCACGTACACGGGATCATTTGCACGCATTGACAATATAACCACTTGACTGCGCATACAGTGCTCCGACGCTCGAAAACTATTAGTATTTTGTCGCCTATGTATAGGCTACGGTACGAGTAACCATTTTAGTTGTGTCCAAGTGTTAGACCTGTGTGCACGCTAAATTAATATAAATTTTTATAACTTTTTATGCAATTATAACGCATCAAAATGCCTTCATGCGCGGTGAAGTGGTGTGGGAAACATTCCAAGACATCTAGTTACAAAAAAGATGGCATAACTTTTCATCGGTAAGTAAACAGCATGAAAATTATTTTTGATTTAATCAGATTATGAGCGACTGCAGGGGTCTATTTAAAATGGTGGTTATTTAAACGAGCACATGTTGAGACGCGCGTTGATGTCTTTTGGAAAAGTCTCGTTCTTTCATTAGACAATTCTAATGCTTCTATCCCTTTCTTTCCCTTTGTATGTTTATTGTAAAAATTAGTGCTGTTACCTTTAATTGCTGAAAGTCGATATCGGAAATATGAAAATTAAAATTAATAAAATTTTTATTCAATTCACGTGTAATAAAATACCTATTTACTTTTAACCGACTTCAAAAAGGAGGAGTTTCTCAGTTTGTCAGTATTTTTTTATGTATGTTCCGAGATTTTTTTGTATTTCTTTCCGGGACCGATCGGTCCAAGATAATTATGGCTTCATACACCGCTGGGTCCGATAGGTACCAGTGCGGTCGGGTGATTTCACACCCAATTATTACGAATCCACAGATAACAATAAATTAATACAAATTTCACTTGTATTCGCTACAATTTCGGGGAAGACTGTCATAAAATGATAGTGAATTTGATAACGCACTATGAATTTGATAATGTTCTATTTGTTGTTTTGCACAATAATTATTTTTTATGTAATTTTTGAGGACGGTGATGTAAACAGGTTTTTTTCGTCTGTGTATTTGACATACATGTTTTTATTTTAGATTTCCGAAGATTCCAGAACTAAAAGAAAAGTGGATAGATAAGGTTAATAGGGAAAATTGGTTTCCAACAAAATACAGCGCTGTTTGTTTAAGGCACTTCACCCCCGATTGTTTTGAATATTTAAAAGAACGCCGCCGTCTATTTAGTTCAGCGATACCAACGTTGTTTTTGCCTATTTTAGTAAGTTTTATTTTTATTGATATA